ACAAAGGTTCATGAGGGAAAAAGAGCTAGTGGGGTTAGAGCCCGAAGCATTGTTGTTGGAAGACATCTGAAAAGAAGAAAACAAATTTAGATTAGATATATCGAATCCTTAATAATACACCCAAATGTAATATTAAGGCTAGGATCCAACACAATATATTATAACTTAGAAGATGGATGCCGTAATCTAAGCTATAACATATTTGAAGGTAGGTGAATGACGATTCACCAATTTCCACCATGAAAACGAAATGAATTATTAGGTTTAATTGGTTTTGAAATTCCTAGATTCTTTTGAGATTCATTGAACTTTTCAATGGCATGTTTCAATCTCGATTGTGCCCTTCAAGTTTTGTGACTGGGATGCCGAGGATCACAAAACAAGGTGTGAATAACCATGCAAATTCACTTGGTACCCTTAATATTATCACCTAATCAATGTGCCGGTTAACCACACATGCTCCACCGATCTATGATAAACATTAAGTCACCCTTCGTGATCCTTACTAGTCCAAGTTAGTGTGCCGGTTAACCACACACGCTCCACCAACGACTTGGTAAGGTACAAAGTGTGAATTTCATGGGTTAGCACCATATTCACATTTTCCTAAAGTAACTAAGATTGGGAATTTATAAAAGGTTTAGTTACTTTATAATATTCATTATACTTTTAATGAGAATTTAAAGTCATTGTCCTACCCGTTCGGCTAACGACCCTCCACCGATCAAGGAAGCGGTGGGTGAGAATGGACACCCATTAAGTTGCCATTTTATAGGCAACAACCTTATACCCCCCTTATAGACCGGTTTCGTGAATGAGGCCTACTAACGGTAAAACGACTTAATCTTATACATATATATAATAATTAACCATTAATGTTATAAATAGTATAAGGGTTGAATTTTAACTTTTAAAACTCTAAGGGTTTGGAATTAAAGTATATTAAAGTGTGTGTAACTTTACAAATTCCAAAACTTGAGGACAAGTTTTGAAACTATTCAAAACTTTTCATTTCATAACTTATGAATTAAAGGTTCATAAAAATGAAGACTCTTCATTTTCATGTAACTTATGTGTTTTAAGTGTGCATAAATGAAAGTGACCTTTGGAAATCCATAACTTGAGGACAAATTATGGACTCCATTAAAACACATAAATGATCAAGAATTATCAATAAACAATTCAGCAAATAATTCCTATGATCTAACAATAATTCATAAGAACATGAATATCATATCAAAAATTCCAAGAACATATGAACACATATAATCATGCAATTTTGATATAAGCCATTGTAAATGGATTAGCATAAACATTACACCATCTAAAACAGGTTTTAAAACACCAAAACAGTTTAGGGTAATGTTTCTAGTCCATTTCCAGCAACAAAAGTCGAAAATCTGCTGTCAGTTCATTCTACTCGTCGAGTGCACGAACCTACTCGACGAGTAGGATGAATTTTCACTTGGACTCGTCGAGTCCCCCCATGGACTCGGCGAGTCCACTGTTCAGACAGCAAACAATTTCGATTTTTAACACAATTTTGCATCAAGTATCAACAAACAAGCCTAGGCTCTGATACCAATGTTGGGTTTTGAGCAAACTAACACTCCTAAGGTGTTCATGCAACCCTAGAAACCTTGGATCTATTTTTGTCTAAAATACATGCAAAATAATTTTCCAAGGTTCATAACCTATCTAGCATACATGGGGTACTTTTAAACATAAAAGATACTAGAAGAATTACATACCTTTGTTAGTGAGTTGATTCCTTGGGAGTTTGAGAGCCAAGCACCAATAATGTGAATGCCTCAAATGGAAATCACAAATCACCACAAACTTGGAAAACTTATGAGAGAGCACTCTAATACTCTAGAAATCGGCCACACCTTATGCACACACACATAGTGTCTTTTCAAGCACCATAAGCCTCTTTATATAGTGTAGATGATTAGGGTTATGAACCATGCAAACCCTAATAACCCATGTCTTTTCCTATTCCAAGGATCCATGGGTTAAAAGCTCCATGGATCATCCATGGACTCCCATTCAAGCTTAGCCCATTTCCTAATGAGTGTTAGCCCATACTATACAAATACAATAGCCAATTATTTAATTAGTCACCTTATGATCACTAAATTAATTCATAATTAATTTAAGATCAATACTAATTAAATAATACAATTTCATATTAATATATTATAACTTATAATATATTAGTAGGCCGCAAATATACTCTTCTCATACTGTTATCCATATAAATAGTTCGGGTGAAGTGCAACCCAAATGGACCATGACGGGTCGGGTAAAGTATATACCAAATAAGTTATGGACTTAGACACCTTATCCAACAGAAAATAGCGTCGATTAGGCTCTTCGAGTGGCGGAGGAAAGTGGATATCTGTAGGGTTGAAGTGTTGGGAAACTGAAGTGACGACAGTGGTGTCGATCGGTCATCGGGAGCATTCCAGTCATGAGCTGAGGGCCGGAGAGGGCATACCAGACTCATGATGTGGGCTCAGAAGCAATCCATACTTATGCTGATGACCACGTAAGGGTATTCCAGTCATAGGTCGTGGGCGTAGAAATTATGATAGTTATATCCCCTGCTGTAGCGGGTTTGAGGTAGACGTATTGTTGAGATTTGGGTAAGTTGTACTCGGTTGTGTCGAGTCAGAGGAGTTTGAAGGAGATGCAAGGATAGATCCTTGCATTCCAAGTATGGGTATAGACATGGGATATGTATGTAGTGGTATTCCAATCTAGGGTATTCCATCATGAGGATGACCGGACCCTGTGATTGACTGGACCTGATGTGTTTGGTATTCCAACCCGAGGGTTGATTGGGCCAAACATGCGTGAGGATACGAGGGTATACCATCCTAGGGATGACTGGACTCGTCGTGGGCATACCTGGTATTCCAGCCCAAGGCTGATTGGGCCAGGTATGAGTGTTTATGAGATATAGCTGGTTGTTCATGGGAGATGCCACGAAGCTGAAGGATGCATCATCCTATCAGCGCGGCAAGGGACTAGATTCAGGAAAGGGACAAGATGAGTTTCCAATATTGCAAGTTACGCGGGTTATCGCCAGTTTTGGAAATGGGAAGATAGATTAGTTCTGTGGGAGAGAACCCCGTGAATTATAGTAGTATCTAACTTTCGCCAGTCACGAAAGTGTGCTCATGACCGTAAGGTGGAAGTATCATCGGGTGATACTGGATTGATGTGTTCTGACATTAAGTAGAAAAGGCCGGTGGTCGGCCGGGAGTATTGGCAAGGATACCACACGAGAAGAAGTTATTTTAACAGGGGTACAGTGGTAGGGTCTGGAAGGACCTGAGTTGATTGGGAAATCGGAGTCTGCAGTGCAGGAGGCATATTCAGAATCGTATAATGCAGTAGGCTTCGAGGACGAAGCCTAATTTAAGTGGGGGAGAGTTGTAACATCCCAAATTTCAGAAGTATGATTTAAGGGTTTATTAATCAAATTAATAAATTTTTCCTCTTTCTCAATTAATCATCCTGTCTAGTTGCAAGTATGAAGGCAACCCAAAAGGATCATGCCACTATCAATTCAAGTACATACCAATTATAGTTATGGATTTAGACACCTGATCCAACAAGATAGACTTCCAAGTTCCAACTCATCTACATATCTCATAAACTGCATACCTGACTAGATAAAAATATATATTTAAGAGTATATACATAAAAAAAATCACGTTATTCTCCCTTTTACAAATCTAATAAGTGAGCTTCCACCATCATCTAAGAATCAATTGGCATCCAAAATACAAAACTAAATGATCCAGGGTTCGATCTTTGGTGCTAACAAGAATTGAAGTATTAACACTAACATCTAACCGGTCAAGCTCCCGTTCAAAAAAACTATATATATGAAACTAATCATTCGCCGGTTAAGATTAGGGGATATATAAGATACTAACACCTATATATATGTAGTACAATACGTCAAAGTAAAGCAACAAAGACAACCCCACCACAATCATATGTGCAAGGACTATTATTACTTACAAAAGCATTGTCTCTATCAAATTGCATAGCCATATATACAAGGACTATTATAACCAACACATATTTAATATACATTAAAAATGTCGAAAGTGATAGCCTTTTTGTTTTAAAAAAAAACACTTCTAACTGATTTTTGTTGTGCCACATAAAACACGTGCAACACTTGACCTTTTCGTAATTGTTTATTTTTTTTAAAAACTCCTGATTTAAACACTGTTATGCTGTACAATACTGGATTCCTCTTCAAATTATTTCACACCTTACTTTAAATTCTATTATTCAAAATAGATTTGTTTAAAAATTTCAACATGCTTTTTTTAATAATATTATGAAGGATATTATAAATAATTCAAGTATTTTTTTTAAAGAAATTCAAGTATACTTTACATAATTTAAAACCGTTTTGGTAAATTTTATATAAATAATTTTTTGTGTTAAATTGTATATTGTCAAATATTAATAAATTATAAAGTTAATAACTAAAATAATCAAATATATTGAAGCTAACCGAAGAAATAACCATCGTCCTGTACAATTTAACAAAAATGAACATATTGTTCTTTAAATTAACAATATATTTATTGTTATTAAACAATTATTATGTTTAATTATTTTATATAAATGTCTTTAAAAATCATATCATCATGATGTTTATATTCAATTTACATATGATTAAAAGTAATAAAATTTTGATTTATAATTATTTTTAACCACTGAATGATTAATTGCAGTTTATTTCAGTAATCCGGAAACGTTAAAAAGCAAACATAATTTTTATTGCAGTTTGTAGACGTTTGATCCACATCTTTTGTTGCAGAGGGCTGCAGATGTGGTCCACAGTCAATAAAGTTTTAGCTTCAAAAAAACAAACACCAACGTGAATCATCATAATCAAATAATCACTTCTATATATAGACCAAAAGCAATAAAAGTTTATTTATTTATTTGTATAAAGGGATTCTTGAGTAACAATTTATGGACCATTTGTGTACGTACTTAGTTTGCCTTTAATTTTCACATGACAACAACACACATCACATATAGAAAGACACAAAGTGACTTATTTGCATAATAGTAGGACACTTTTACATTTTGGGTGCATCGATCATCCATCCCCCACCCTATATATAATACATGCACCCACGGACCACGGTTGTAGGTTCACCCTGGGACCATATGACATGCCTACGTCATATAGGTTTTTCATTTATGCATGCTACTCAATCATCCTTCCGTTTTGAACTTTTTAATTTAAGATCAAACACCGTCTTTTGAATCTGTTCATTCGTCACAGGTTCTGAAATCTGATAAGATTTTCTCAAATACTGAGATTGCGACCAGTAGGCCTCGAAGAACTCCATGTTCTCTTTCTCTAATTCGCTCCACACTGCAATTATGATCCTCAATAATTATCAACAGACTGAAAATGAGTTATGTTTCTTTTAGGTGGGACAAATACTTGCAATTTTTGTGTCATTAACATAGTACAACGTTCTATCTTGTGTAAGTTATATGGTATCTAGGAGGAGAGATGATGTGGAACTAACCCGTTGAGGTGATGACGGGTTTTATATTTGCATGTTTACAAAGGGCTTCCATGCACTCTTCTTTGGTCATGCCGAAGATCAGACATTTTTCGATTAGATGTTGTACCTACAATAGTCAACAATTTTTTCATGATCAACATGTAAAATGAATAATAACACATGGTTCTATATATGCCTATTACCATGTGTATGTATGAAGACGAAGAGTCACCCATTTCCAAATATCTATTTGATCTTCAGAAAAATGAATGATTAGAGTGAAGCCATGGAAGTCTTGATCAATTTATATAGAGATGAGCCAAGAAATATACGATGTGGGAGATGGACGATGATTGGTGGAGAAGGGATTACATAAGATTTTGTGGAGTAGCATTTCTGTCTTGTAGGACTCCCATTTGGCACCATACCCCACATGTGATCCCTGTGGGTCCTGACTTGCTTTCAAACAATAGTTTTAAACACTTGATTAAAGAATCCACACCCCGACCGTAGGCTTTATCCTTGTGATCAGCAACCTTCAGCCAATCAGAAAGACATAAGACTTTCTTAATCCAAGTTGCCATTCTAGTGTCAATATACTTAGTACTAGCTAGTACATTTGTAAAGTGCTACTTATTTCTAACTGATACTAGTATACAAAGCAACCTTACTCGACAAAGCCTGGAGTGCAAGGGAAACAAAAAGTAGGGAAGGCCCCCAAAAGAGCAGGACGTTGGGAGCCATTCCTCATAAGGAAATACACTTCAATGACAAACACTCGATCCTCAATGAGTTACAAGATTCATGGGGAAAAGAAAATCACATGATCGGCAACATAAAAAGAGTAATGAACATACAGTACTTTGTACACAAGACTAACATGCAAAGAAATATTTGCGAATTTCACATAAACCAGCAAACTAATCTTACGTTTGGGGGATTGAAAGGCCGGATTGTGTGGTTTTTGGACTACGGCCTCATAGCATTTAGTCCTACAAGGTGGAGACTAGAGAGTGAATTTAAAGCAGGTTGGGTTTCCATCTCCTGACAGATTGCAGTTTTTTGGTGAGATCTCTTCATCATTGTCTAGTTTGATTTCATATATCTTGTTTGACTATTCAGTGTGTGTGCATCCATACAGTATTTACATGTTGATCATATTGCCCCTCTCCTGAAGGACAATAGTTAACAAGTAAATATGTACGGATGCACATTTAGTGAATAAACAAACAATGTATATGAATGTATATGGAATCATGTACAATTTTATTGAGTATATAGCTTTTCTTTAGTTACACACTTACACGGTACCATTGTATTCTTTTTGGCGGAGTGATGTTTCATATGTTGGGATCTTATATGGTGTGGACGTGCCAACAATATTTTATTTTTATTTTCACTTTTTTACATGCCGAGAGTAACAAACGGAACCAGTCTTCCTTCCCCTACCCTTTTATATAGGTTGTTGGAGCATGATCTAAATTGTGTCATTGGAATTTTCTTCTCTTAATACCGTTACTTACAACATTTTGGTAGAAGCGTTGTTTGCACGAGAGTTATTTTCTGTAAAGGCAACATTTTTTAGAATTATGGTTGCGTAGCCAAAACATCCATTATTTGCGGAGTTGATTAATTACCAAGTTTAGTAATTTTATAGATTATTTTCTTTTATTTAGAAGTTTTAAAATTTTAGGATTCCTTATGCAAAGCTATAAATAATACATTTTCACTCATAGTTTTTTTTAAAGAATTTCGTCTATATCTTTGTAAATTTTCATAATTACGTCTATATCCTTGTAAAACTTCAAATTATATATAGTATGTCCTTAAAAATCTATAAACTCATGTATATATCCAAGTACTTAATTTAATGATAATTCATCTATTTAACAATTAAAAACACGATCTTTAAAATAGACTATAACTAAATTACTAAAACAGGCATATGCAATCCTTCGCATAATCAATATCCTTATTCACGATATAATTATTCACGGTCTGATAATGTTTTTGCTAATTGATTACAAATTTGCAATCACCAGGTTTTGTTAATCGAATTTGCAATCATCAGGTTTTACTTTGGTTTTGCAAATTTATCGAATATGTAATCACTACGTTTCGCCACTACAATCAATTAGGAATATGCAATCACCGGGTTTGGTTAATCGATTATATAAAATACGAAGCGACAAACAATCAGGTCATAAATATTATATCGCGAATAAGGAGATCGATTGAAGGAGGGATTGCAAATGAGTATTTTAGTAATTTAGCTATAATATAATTTAAAGATAATGTTTTTAATTTTTAAATAGATTAATTATATTAAATTAAGTATTAGGGTATATATGTGAGTTTATAGGTTTTATAAGGATATACATGTAATTTGAAGTTTTATAAGGATATATGCATAATTATGAAATTTACAAGGATATAGACAAAATTCTCCATTTTTTATCATTCATTTTGTTTTGGTCAAAATATGCAAAAAAAAAAAAAAAAAAAAAAAGTAAAAGTTGTGGTATTGTATTCGGAATCTTAACCAAGATTTCGAGGTGCTAGACACAAGAAATACAAGGAAAACTCTTAATCTCGGATGAGATCGCCGACACAAAACCTCAGGAGCCGAAATATCCGGGCTGCCTTGATAATTTTTATTGATTGAATCGAATGAGTACAAGTAATATGTTTTTAGTTGTAGAATACAATTGATAAAGATAGTGATTGTGTGTATGGTTTTGAGACATAATCTGCCTATTCATACATAAAGCACTAACGACTATAAGCTGCATTCCTATAATCTCAACATAATCTTCTACCCCGAAATTCCTGTTTATCAGGTCTTCTCTATCCCGAAAATCTCGAAGACAAAGACCAGGTTTTTTTATTCACGTTTTTCACAGTAATTATGTGACATCGCCTATTTTCCAGAACCAAAAAAAAACTTTTTTCTTTACGCTTTTAAAAACCATAACATCTTCATTTGCGGAAAATCTCAGTATACAAAACATTTTGTGGAAACTATTTCGTTTTATAAAAAAACTATCTTTGAATAAAGATGTTGTTTCAAGATAAAAAAAATCTAAGGATGTCATAATCAATACACAACATAGTTACACCATAAAGACCTATGGTCCTGAACTCTATTGCAATTCTTCTATTTAATCACTCATCATCCTTTCAAATCTCTAGCAGTCTTAGCACCGCTACCTATGATGCATGTAAATGGAATGGGTCAGGTTGGGAAACCTGGTGAGATATATAAGGTTTTCAATCCCATAACATTATTATGATAATAACTTATAATTATCAAACCTGCAAAACCAACTATTACCAAAACCATATCATATAACCTAGATATCTTATAAGATAATATATCCTTAGTTAGTCATCTCATTGATCCTCACATACTAACCTTATGCAACGACCTTATGGGTTTTATCAAAGGGATAATTGTGAACAACAAGCTGCTTCGAGGATTCCTTAGCAGCAAAAGAGGATAAAAAAGACAACAAATAAGAGGAATGAAGTGCTCAAATGAACATATGATCCGGTCTCCTCCGATCGGTATAATTCATTAACACCACAAGACAGTTAAATCGGGGATGGTCATCAACACCCGTTAGATGGCTTAGAATTGCCTAGTAATGGTCATCTGACGCACACTATTCAACAGTCAATCAGATGACTCAGACATACGTAGTAGTGGTCTGTGTCTCGAATTTCATTCGATCATCATGAAAATGGAAACGTCGACACACAAAGATTATCAAAAGAAAGCGAGAGGGAATACTAACATAGTACTCTGGTACGCTCCTGTACCCTGACACGTTGTAACTTCCTGATTTTCAACATATATTTTTCAATTTTATTTAGTCAAATATATTAGAGTATAATTACAATACGTGGAAAACATTATGTGAATGCGCATGTGTACAGTCGAGCCTTGCCCTTCTCACGATCCGAAGAGATACCTGAAAACATTTATAATCAACTGGGTATGCACGAAGCTTAGTGAGTTCTCCAAAATACCATATATCACAATACATATACATGCATACAAACAACGGCTCACGACCTTTTGCCGATCCAGGAATTTTATATGTATTTAGACTTCCAGTATGCCTTCAATTTCGTCATCAATACACGGGTCTATAGGCTCCCGAGATGTCATCGTTTCTCCATCACACCCTATTCTAACCGTAATAAATCAATACATGGGTCTATAGGCTCCTGACCTTTCGTCGTTTCTCCGTCAAATCCTATTCTAACAGTAACAAATAATTCAAATACAATAACACTTAATCACATAGAGGCTATACTTCGACTCTTCTAGTACAGGCACATAGATGCTAACGTCTATTTTATACATATATTTACGGTGTTTTCTTATTAATTTATACTATTTTTTATGCTATTTAGAACTAAAAGGTACTTATAATGCTTAAATTTATATTTTATATGTATGATTTGTTGCTAGAGCGGAAAGGAAGTGGAAAAGCTGAAAATTGGAGTTGAATTGCAAAAAGCAAAGAATTGGCTGAGGAAGCTCATTACGCCCATCGTACTGGGCTAGGTGGCATCAGGTCTAAACACGCATTTGACACCTTACAGGAGCGATATACGGTAGTTTGTAAGCCAATCCAGTTGCAAGGCATTGGATGATATGATAGCGAGAGCCACGGAGAGGGAGATAGATCTAGAGATGGAGAAGAAGAGGAATCCAGATTATGTGCACAGTGAAGAGGGTTCGTGTGACATCCCCTAATTTCTCGGCCAGAAAAGACCGATTTAATTTATGCTTTTTAAAATAAAGTCAGAGAAATCCTTTTAAAAGATGTTGCAGAATTGGTCCCCAAAACAAAACATGATAAAAGTTTATCAAAACCTTTCTTTAAGAAATATATAATTTCATTTCATATCAAAACCTCGGGATGTCATGTTCCGATACAGATCAAAAGCATAAACAAGACATTATAAGCCTTACAACAGTTATTTACAACTACTGGCCTATAATCCAAAAATCTCTCATCATCATCCGACTATGCACGGGGTCCACTACCTGTAATATAAAAAGCTGAGTGGGTCAGGCTTGGGAGCCTGGTGAGCATATAGGGTTTTCAACCCACAATAATAATAAACTTATTAAGTTCACCAATCAACAATAACCCTGATTACCCATTCCCGTTATCCTCACTTTACGTCCCTAAACACCTATCACAAGGGACCTATCCTAAGGATTATCATCGGGGTGGACACTACTGCTAAGGGGACTCCTCAGCCATATATGTCCTAAAGGCAACCATGAGGGGGATGGAGTACGCCAATGAACATTTAGTTCACCAACACCTAC